TTTCACACGAGACTGTGTGTTTTTGTGATTCAGTCAACTCGACTGACTCTCCCACCGGATACAAGGAAAAACCTGAACAGGTTAGCAGCCTACATTAAGGTAGAAACCTGCAAAGTAGGTGGCCTAACGTTGATGTAGGCTCTAGACCTGTTTAGTTTTTTTCCTTAGTTAACGTGCTCTAGCTTGCATGTTGAATGACCTTTAATTAACGTAGAAAAAAACTCTAGCAAAGTGCTCGAAGATGGAATGAAAAGCCCGTCTCACATCCTACTCTCCTACTGACGAACTCCTACTCGATAAGCGCTTGAAGCCCGCCGCTCCATTCGTAAAGTATCCAACTATCCGTCTCCAAGCCCTCTTCAATGTCCAAGCAATACTAGTGATGATGGAACGAATCTGCGAACGAGGTGAAGTCTACTTCCTCCCCGTTCGGACGCCGTACTCGGAGTAGAAATGGCACGTCGTGTTGTGAACGACGCCGGATGTGTCTTCTTTGAAGACGTTGCAGCCGTATGTTGCGGCGTTGGGTGGGGTGTATACTGTGGGTGATTAGTCATGTGAGGTAGAATGGACGGGTTGATGCTTACAATGTAGTGAAACTGCATAGTCCGTGGGATGCGGATTGGAAATACGATGTACACCGAGCGTATCCGCCATGTATGTAACGTCGTTTTCAGCGAAGGTAGTCTCTTGGGTCTTGGTCATGGGGCGCTGGTTTTGTGCGTCGTCTTCGGTTGGGGTGGCGAAACGGGTTTCTGTCAGGCTGCCTTTGAGGACTTTCATGATGCAGTGTGCGTTTGCGTGGCTGGATGGATGTTAGTATCGGGTTCTATAACGCTGAGTTGCGCATTCGAGAGTGCGAGGTATATTCATGATGGATTATCGAAAGGTCGTCTTACCGGCGTGTCTCCTGCTGACACATCGATCAAAGTAGATCGGCGAACGGGGTCGCTTCATCGTGCAGGAGACTGGAGCCATGGGATATTGTTCGCGAGGTAAGGCATGCTAATGTCAACGGTCGCAAAATACAAGAACTTACTCGTGAATCGGGCTCTTCTTTCCAGGACCCCATACTAGGATAAGCTGTTCGATTAGCACCACCTTCGTTGACTCGAGAATCGGGGACTGTACCAAGTTGCTCTTGCCGTTGCCTTTGTCGACAACATTCCGTGTGTATGGTAATGTCTCAGATGGAAAGTAGTATTTCTTCCACTCCGACTCTTCCGAGGTGTATGCTTTCATTAACTCCAGGAGCTCATTCTCGTCTACGTCATCCGAGTCTATGCCGTTGCTGGGGCCGAGCACCTTGTTGATCTCCTGCACGAGCGAATGGAAGTTATCCTCTTCAGTGTTGCGACCGATCATGGTAACGATATCGATGTTTGAGGAATCAGAAATATGGCGAGCGTGTCGTCGGTTATGATGGTATTGCAGACGGAGTTCCGACGAAGAGAGTTCGGAGCGCGGGCTTTAAATACACACAGCCTTTGTCGAGGGTAAGAGCGTTGGCTTGCCTGCCTTCAATGCTGCTTGTGCAGGACTGGGCTTGCTTCATTATGTAACAATTGGCGCGTTCTAAGCTTGTGATATGTGGATCCATGGCGGTCAGCAGTTCGCCGACATGTGATGCACCTCATATGCTCAGCCAGAGTGGTGGGTATGGTCACCGATGTGAAGAGCCCGAATCGGCTTCTATCGGGCAACTTTATGAAGGCCGCGAGGAAGCATGCATGGAAGCCGAGATGGAAGGGTGCTGCGTTGAACGCTAACCTTATCGGGTGGCGGTGAAAGGTACTGCCGGGAAGCCGTGCCCCGCTTCGTCATTGGCGGCGTGCGTCGCATCAAATTTCTGAACAACAACATCGCCTCTCCACGCCTGCTCAGAGCAAGTCAGGATACACAATAATTCAAGATGGCGACCACAGTAGACAAGGCAAGTATCGAGTGCCGCCGCATATCGCCATTCCACGCGCTAACAGAGTGTGCAGATCAAGGACATCGAGGCCGAAGTAAGCCACACCCCAATACGCGACCGTAACACGATGACTTACACGAGACGTAGATGGCCAAGACCCAGAAGAACAAGGCGACGTCTTTTCATCTTGGTACGGATACACGACCGAATACTGCATACTGGTATGCTTATACATGAACAGGGCAACTGAAGGCAAAGCTCGCGAAGCTTAAGAGAGAGCTGCTCGAGCCTTCATCCGGTGGCGGCGGCGGTGCAGGTGTAGGATTCGATGTTGCTAGGACTGGTGTTGCCAGTGTTGGTTTCATTGGCTTCCCCTCCGTGGGCAAGAGTACGCTCATGAGCAAATTGACCGGACAGCACTCCGAAGCCGCTGCATATGAGTTCACAACGGTGTGTTGGATACGCCTGTTACTAGGATCAGTACTGACAACATACAGCTTACTACAGTACCGGGTCAAGTCATGTACAACGGAGCCAAAATCCAGATTCTCGATCTTCCCGGTATTATTCAAGGTGCGAAGGACGGTAAAGGTCGTGGACGACAGGTCATCGCCGTCGCAAAGACCTGCCATTTGATCTTCATCGTTCTGGACGTCAACAAACCCCTCACCGACAAGAGCGTTATCGAGAACGAACTGGAGGGCTTCGGTATTCGAATCAACAAGAGCCCGCCAAACATTGTGCTCAAGAAGAAGGACAAGGGAGGCATCAACATCACCGCGACCGTTCCCCTCACACATATCGACCATGGCGAAATCAAGGCGGTGCTGAACGAGTACCGAATGGCAAACGCCGACGTAGCTATTCGATGCGACGCCACGGTCGATGATTTGATCGATGTCATTGAGGCCAAGGGACGAAGCTATATCCCCGTCATCTACGCTTTGAACAAGATTGATGCCATCAGTATCGAAGAGCTCGATTTGCTCTACCGCATTCCGAACGCCTGTCCCATCAGTTCCGAGCACGGGTGGAACATCGATGAGCTCCTCGAGCAGATGTGGGAGAAGCTCAATCTCGTTCGTGTTTACACCAAGCCCAAGGGCAAGATGCCGGATTACTCGGCGCCAGTGGTATTGCGATCAACAGCCTGTACCATTGAAGACTTCGTAAGTCTCCCCCTCATCTTAAACGCGACGCGCTAACCGCTCTGTAGTGTAATTCCATCCACAAGACAATTGTCGACAACTTCAAGCACGCTATTGTTTACGGGAAATCATGCAAGCATCAGCCCCAGCGTGTGGGACTTTCTCACGAGCTTGCCGACGAGGATATCGGTATGTATCCCAGTATTATGTCTCTAAATGGATATCGTGAGCTGACGACCCGACCAGTCACTATTGTCAAGCGCTAGATAAGGTCTCGTGATTACGAGATACGACAGGCGTTATGGATCCGGTCTTGGGAAATAGTGAGTAGAGCAGAAGGGCCTTCTGGATGGCTGAACATGTCTCACTGCGATACCAATACTAGGTCGCAGCATTAAGATGACGAAGAGAGCGAGGCTTGGAGCCGATCTCGCGGCCTGGATTGGCCGAGGGCTCGTTCCAGTAGCACCGCGGACGACATCAGGACGACACTAGCACTGGGCAACGCAGCTTACGGCGCGGATCGTACCTGCCAATCGCCAATGCTCGACTGACTGGTGGCGGTCCGATACCGTCCGCAAGCTATCAATACCAGGCCTTTGCTCCCCCTGCCGAGGAGGCGTCATTCAAGACATTGCCGTCGCGGACCCTCGTGGTAATGGCGCCGCTGGAGTTATTGGAACGGGGTCAGCATGTCGCATTTGTTTTTATTCCATATTTGCTTCGGAATTTGATGGATTCAGATCAGCATTGTCTGGCCCAATTTTTGAGGCGTCGGTTTTCCTTATTGGTCTGCTAACGGGCGCAGCGGTCGACTCGGAGAAATCAGCAGGGGTTAGTTGTGCTGGCGACTCAGAGGGCACGCTGTCAGTCGGGCGCTAAATCATTATCGCTCCCGAAAGCCTGAGTGGCTGGTCGGCAAAACCTCGATTTTCCATGGGCGCGATTATTGCAGCTTTCCGAAAGCGTTTCAGCCGTCGACACTTTCTGTCTCTCCTTTATGCACAGCCGATGATTGACGTCTTGCCCCTGCCGTGGGAATCGCCACAGGCTCGCGTACCTGAGCAGCATTGAATCGGCTGCCACTGTTTCGCGCCACGAGCGTACGGCAACGGCCAGGATGTATTTCGCTGGGCGCACGAGGCGAAGCCAATATGGCGCTTCCACTCAGACCATGTCTTGTTCGGGAAGCGTCAGATTAGCCGGCTGCGACGTGCTCAGCGGTGCGAGGGCCCTGATGGGATGATCCCACCCGGCTGCCTTGACATCCCATTTGCCCTTGCTAGGAGTCAGGCGTCGAGGCATGCACTGGCGAGCTAGCCTGGCGGCCGCATAATTCTGGCCCGCGCTGTCCTAGGGGCGCATCCCCGATGAGAGACCCGCACACGCTAAGCCCAACGTCGTCGCTCGTCGCTTGGCCGAATGGCGACCAGGATCACTGTGCACACGCCAGGCTTGCCGGCAAGCTTGGGCTCGAAACAAACAGGGCTCCTCTCCCGCCAGCTGCAGTAGGCCGCGCCCGCATCGCACAGCCAGGGCCTGTTACCAGTGTCCCCAGACTTATCCTCAAGTACGCGCTGCAGGCCCGCCGCGCCAGGCTTTCCCTGCAGTTTCAATTCTCCATCTAAGGCCATTGCTTTGCCGCGCTGCTTTATACCTATATGTTTTGACCTCTGTCATACCCAGCGCCTTTTGTCAGCGCTACCCCCGCTACTGCGGTACATTGACTTGTCGCTGTTTCGCCTCAGGAACCAAAATCTCGTCTCATGCATGTATGCGCTCGGCCGCTCTGAGGTCACCCACGCCGCCTAGGTATAGCAACACCACGGTGCAGGTGCATATGCCCGTCTGGCACCCTACTTCTGCTCCGCACCCAACACGGACACTCGTTCCCACACTCGCACGGATACACCACTCCAATACCTACTGCCTTCGACATGAGCCAGTTGCAAATGGATCACGACCACCACCATCACCACCACCAGGAACCTTTCGAGGATCACCATTCTGGATGGCATGGCGATAATGGATACAACCCACACCATCAGTCTCCAGTCCAAGACTTTAATGGCTTCAACGGCTTTGCACCGCTCCCGATGGAGCCCATCTACGGGAACGGCATGCATCCACCCCACCAAACTCATCCGACACCGAGGACTACGCATCCACAGCTGCAGCCTCTGATCATGCCGCAGATGCCGCAATGGCCGAGCATGCTGACCAGCCAGTCGACTTACCAAGCTTCACTGTTCCCCTCAGCCCCACCACCGATAACGCCGGCATCAGCAACGCCAGTCTCAGCGAGCTCAACACATTCCCGCACTTCGTCGACACCACGGAAGACTCTCACAGACTCGGACCGCAGACGCATGTGCCAATACCATGAAGAGAATCCCACTGTCAAGCAAACGGAAATTGGAGGTATGCCAGCACCACGCACCAGACTCACATGGATCTTTTACTAACGATATCCTAGCAATGTTCGGCGTAGAGCGAAGGTACCACTGCATACCCTGCATGTCTCTTCCCGTGCTGACAGTCTTGTAGTACCGTTTCGAAAGTGTTGCGCCAGAAGGAGAAGTACTTGTACCAGGACGACGGTAGCCGATCACCCATAAAAAGGTCGAAAGGCAAATTCCCGGATATCGAACGTGCCTTGTCGAATTGGGCACGAAACCATCAGAAACAGGGAGCACAGCTGTCAGATGCTCAGATCCGAGAGAAGGCCCGCTTCTTCGCTCAGACCGTCGGCAACTCAGAGAGCCACCTCAAGGTAAACAGTGCGAGCTGGTTGGAAAAGTTCAAGCAAAAGAATCATCTCAGTGGTGCAAGGTCACGAAAGACTTCGATAGCAGAAGAATCGGAGGGGACTTCAAATCCGCCATCCAATGTGCATACCCCGGGGGCCATCTCGCCTACCTCACCTGGTGGGGTATCTCCAGCGACAACGACCATGACAGCGAAGAAGAGTCAGGAAAATCTCAAGACAGAAAGCCCCGACACATACGACTTTTCGAACCATCGCCGACCCTTCCATTCACAGAGCAGTACATCTTTGTCAAGCGTCTTCACGGATACAGCCACAAGCCCTACGTCGCTTTCTTCGCCTTTCTTCACGCCTGATTCAGCATGCGGCCCGAGTCCATTCATGGGAAGCCGCCAGCCTGCGAATGGACAGCCAGGGAACAACAACTTCCAAAGGCCCCGAAGCCAAACCTTCCCCATGCTTGTTGGTGTTGAGCAGTACATGTCACCTCCGGGCTCAACTGACGATATCACCCCAAAGTACGTTAGCAGCGGTGCACTTGACTCGCCCATGACCGAGATGCCTGGTACACTGCCAGTCATTGACGAAGGAATGTCGCTTTCGCCTACCCAGATGCCCAACTCGATGCAGCCCCCTCCTCTCCCAGGTACCATCGACGACAAAGGCTCATCAGCCGACTCCTCGCCCATCACACCGTCCCAAGAAGAAGCTGCACGCGCTCTCGAGCTCGTCATGACCTTCTTCCAGTCACAGAACGCAGGCTTCGTCGTAGAGCCCCAGGAGTATGTCACCATTGGCAAGCTGATGGAGAAGCTACGAATCAAGCGCAGCTCCGAGAGCCTTCCTTCCGAGATGCGACGTGTGTCAGAGCCCAACTTCACCACGGCCAAGCTCGAAAGCGTCGACGCGATCCATTAGCGAATCGGACATGTCACTCATCCAAGGGCCTGTGACGCCTGTCACAGCACGTAACGCTGACGACCACTTTCCTTTGTGGAACAAGCTTCCTGAATCGCTTGGGTTTGGAGTAGCAAGACTGTGCAACACTTGCGGTCTAGAACACCGGGATCAGGGACATACACACACGGCTAGCATTCTGCATTACAGTCACCGTTTGGATTTTCTTTCATTGCCGCATCTTGCCGCATTCTCGCATCAGCATCATTAGCATGGCTTCTATTTCTCACTACTCCTTCATTGACTTTCATTTTTCATCTTCCTATTCCCTTGCTCCACGAACCACTATACCCCCCTCTAGCAGCGCACAGTAACCTGACTGTTTTCGACTTTATCCCCTTACCTAAAACGAAGACTGTATCCGCCCACGCGGGCCAATATTCTGTACGCTTCTATTTGCTGCTTTCAAACGTTCCATTTACATTTGCCTGGCGGCTCTCATACGTTGCACTGAGTCTGAAACGGCGCGATGGGCCTCGTACGCACTGCTGTGCACCTATATGTAGCTTCTAATATAGTTACCGACCCTTGCCGCAAGACCGGCCTAACGAAAGGGTCAATCACGCTCGAAATGCGATTAATGCTCAATCCAACGTGCCATACGATTGTGCGTCTGATGTCACTAGTCAGTTTCGTCCGATCTCAATCTGATCATGGTCAGACTCAGCCTAGTTTTGGTGGAGCACCACTGACACTTCACTGATCGGCAAAAGTCTGGCTCATGAACGGCTGGTACTTGCCGCTTTAAGCCCCCGTGACGGAGCTTTCGGCATCGCATTGCAACACCGTTATAGCAACGATGTGCAACAAACTTTGGCATAGCCCGCCGAAAAACAACACTGAATTTCGGAAAATACCTTGCCGACAGACATGCCGATCGCAAGGAAAAGCAGCATTCGTTCGTTCTGGCTTTCCGCATCCTGGACACGGCCAAAACGTAAATTGCATGTGAGACTTGCAGGTTCAGTCGGCACCAGTTGGCCCCCTTCCCCGCCTTTGCACGAAGCTCGGACACCTTTTGACCTGGCGCACCTTGCACATCCTTGATACATCACAAAAGTACATATATACATGTCCAGATACATCGCTTGAAGCGATCGCAATGCATAACGATTGATGACGAGGCTCGTATACGAGGAAGACAGATCCTCAAACTGTTGAGCCTGATCTAGATGCCCGCAAGCGTGAGACATTTGGTATCCCGTCTCCCCGCGCGCGCGCACCATACTCAGCTGGAAAGTTTGCGCATTTGGGTTCGTGTCAAAGGGCTGTCCCGATCTGGATCAGGGATGAGACGAGCGTGAGCTTGGAGAAGCGAGGGATTGGCGTTGGTACGGGCTTTCTTTGCTCAGTAAAGTGGTTTCGGCAGCGCAATCGACGCAAGGCGCCCTAGGGCTCCGTCATGCCGCGGGGGCGCACGCACTGGACTCAGCTCTTTGCTGCCCTGCTGGGCTGGATAGAGAGCTTGGGCCTTACGGTCGTCTCTGCAGCGAAGCTCGAGTTTCCCCAAACCCTGGAGCGAGTCGTGTTTGGGGGTCTTGCTGTTCCGTACTGGATTAGTTGCAGCTTCCTTCGTTTTCGGATTCCCTTGCTCAATCATGACGAACATAGCTGTAGCACATAGAGTACAGTCCACGCTTCCGCGGGTGAAGCAAAAGTTGGGCAGTGTTTTGGAAACCAGTTTACTTATTTCACAAAGCCGTTACTTTTGCATTACGGGTATTATGCAGCCCGTTTAACTTCACCCTGCGTTCCGCGGCGCCAAAAAGCAAAAAGGTGAGCAGTCCAGCGCCACTTTAGTTCGTCCTCTCTAGCCGCAAGAAGAAGCAAGAAAGGTAAATGTCGTCGGTGTTCCCCACCACCATATCTTGGGCATCCTTGCAGTGACACTCTTTTTTTCTTATCCCGCGGATGATGGACTGTTCGTTTTGTCCTTGCTTCTTCCTTTTCTCTGCAACACATTGCTGTTCGGTACAGTACCGGTTCGGTCCGCAGCCGAGCCCGTTCACTGGCTCACACGTTGTCCAAATGCCGGATGTACTTCCTTCGCAGGTTGAAGCTGCAGTACATAGCCTTGTACATTGTGCAGCTCTATCAAAGAAAAGAAAATGAGTACAGGGGGCCTTCGGATGACAACTAAAAACGCGTGTTACGTAGCTGTCAAAGTAAATAAGCAAAGGTAGTAACAGTAGATGAGGGGACGCGCAATGGGGCAGATCTGTACTTGGTGTCGCAGTCCGACTTGGTTCGGCCCTTTTCTCGCTCATGTCGTTAGCTCGCGGTGTTGCGCGCAATGGCTAGACCGTCGTGAGCATCAAATCGCGAATACGCAATCGCAGCGCCCCCCATCGATCGGTGAAGGCCTGCGTTACCGTCCCTTGGACCCCCTGACCATTGGCAAATCCAAGGAAAGAGGCCGACAGGTTCGTAGTACCTTTGTATTCGGGCCTACGTCAAGCAGTGGTGGCAGGTTGTAGCGCAAGAGGCTAGGAAACCTACACCCGAAAGTCAATTATCGCGTTAGATTGCTAGCTCTCGCCCTTGTCTCCATCGCAATTCGAAGATAATGTTGGGCTAGTCCGCCAATGGTGAAAAGGCTGAGAGCGTTCCGGTGACCTTTAATTTTTGCCCTAGCATCTAATGCACAATGTGCTGGCGATAAGCATCGAAAAGTTCATTACGATGTTCGCGGTGCTAGGTCATGCGGTACCCTGCATTAGATCGTCCACGTGATTGATATCTGATGCTGTGTAACACGGTACGGAACCGGCTAAGCAAGAGAACAAGAATGTCGAGGTACAGAAGTGGCCACCGAAGCCCCTTCGTGTGAGGTGCTCCCGACAACGTTGCCTGAGCACGCGTACTTCCAAGGTTACTTCTGAAATCATTCATGGCATTGCGGGCCGTTGTTCGCACCATTTGTTCGCCCTGAGGCTTGTGTCACGTGCCGTTTGATGGGCTGAGGCCGGTGTATCGTTTTTTTGACCTCGCAGCTGACAAGTCTGAGCAACGCTGGTATGCACGATAGGGTATCGAATACACCTTCGCATCGCTGTATACAAACGACAGTACGACGCACTCGCCCGTCATTGACGTACCCGTCCCGTCATTCTTGCACGCCCTGTCAGACGCACACATCCGTTGCTCCAGAAATGTTCTTCGATTCCCAACAACGGGTCTTCGCATGAACTGGTGTCGCAAATACCTTTGTTGGCGAATGGATCACGACTCAGGATGATGTGAGAGTGGAAGCGGGATATACAGCTCGCCTCGATGATGATTGCCAATTGGCGTCATTCAGCGATCGTTGTCATGCGCTGCGCAGCAAGCGAACGTCTCGAATTTTCCCTATCCCGAAAATTCAGGATTGGCGAACGACTCAAACCGCAGCCGCGTACGCCGACTGTTCCAGAGTGGCTGAGGTGAGTCTGCCGTACGCCTCACTATTGAGTCTTCATGCCTTGCGCAGGATGACGATAGTTTGGTAGGATATAGTGATTGCCCACTACGGGTGATGTTTTGCATGTTCGAGTCAATCCCACCCGCTGCCGTACCTGCACTAACGTTCCGGGCTCTTTAACCGTTGAAACATGGGTCGATGTTCGCAACATTGATGCCCATGACAGCCCCTGATGAGCACTCGCTTGACTCCAAACCATGGTAGATGCTGGATCGCCGGTGCTGGGATCATGGGCATTGTGCCTGGGATCCTGATGCGCTTGCCCCGGACCCCGTGCGGTTCAGGAACAGGCGATGTCGCATCTTGTCAAATGCTGAACGGCGACTATTACTGGGATCATGACTTTCCGTGTTGCGCATCCCGCGGCTTCGCGTACCAGGTCCCTGTAGGGGTTCCCTCGTTACGCCCTGGAGTTCGAGGAATTAAAGTTTCAACGGTCATCCGCGCCGAGTCAGGCAAGTGCCAGCATCACCAACACTGACGTCTTGACACTTCGGCCGGCATAATCGGCGACCTGAATCCTACGCACGCGCCCACAAAGCGCGCGTTATTCGATAGGATCAGGATGGGTTTTGTTCGAGATGCAGGACAACTGTGCCGCAGAGGCAGAGAGAAGGCTGACTCGATCGCTGGTTATGTTCCGCGTAGTTGCTGCCCAACCGAATTTTGAAACACGTTAGCGGCAGGCTGTTCAGGAACGTGTTGCCAGGAACCGCAACCCTTGCGGAAGCGATAAGAGATAGACGGCTACGGGCTGAAGGCGCATGCGGGGTAACTTCTCTCGACGCTTTAGACTTCTCAGCCCACCCTCGCTTCTGCGATGTTCACTCACTGAAACCCCACGGTTGATACATCGCCTAAGTGAGGCTGATTTATATTTGACCTTGGAACAAGGGTTCACGGCGTAGCCGAAGAGGAGCGCGGCGGTAAATGTGATCCGCAGGCAGAAACTCCAAGGCGCTCTGAACCAGAACCTTTGTTATCTCGCTAGGCGGGGCTTGATTGCTGATTGTATGAAGGTGCGGGGCTTAGGCGAGCTCATCTTGATACGTGAAGGTGTGGTGAAGCTCGGAACGCTACGTTAGATAACCAGGGAAGATGCAACGTCGTCTACAGTCCTTGACTCTCTTCAGGATCATGCGATGGTACTGCATCGTGAGCTCGCATCGTAACTGCAACGGAGCTGGGCACATAGTCATCTCGTATTCGATTAGTTGAATTTATGTACCATGGCGCGCCCTGACAACGCATGTCGCTTGTCGTCCAATATCTACCTTTAAGGCTCCCGGTTGTATGCATTTTATCCCCGCGCAGATGTACAGATGACACGGACCGTCGCGCTCACCGAGCGACATGCAGATTGTTCAAGGCCCTCATTCGCAGTAAGTCTGCGTGAGTGGTGTCTTCCCTGCCGCATACCAACACTACCAAGATTGAGTGCTGCAGCAATCATGGTAAAGCAGCTCAGACTAAGCGATGGCTTGGTGGAAGACGTGCACGGTGGGGCACCTCGTGGTTCATTCTTTGTAGTTTCCGTCCGGCAATATCCCGAATAGTCAGGTGCTCGCCACGGTATGCAGCCAGCCCGGAGTCTGGATGCCATGTGCCTCAACAATTTTCTTAGGGAATTTTTTGATTGGTCGATACCCCTCTTTTACGGTCAGCGGTGTACCTTTCCCACCACACTTTGCTACGAGCGCACTATGAGTTGGTATACGTGGAAGTGCACGAAGCTGCAGTTTCGCCGCTTTAGTGAGTTGCCTTGTGCTGGTTTGATGGAAGTATGTATGCGATACAAGGATTGGAGTTCACCCTCGTCGAACGAGGTATGAACGGCGAAGGTGACTGCGCGACGGGCCGTGCCCAGCAGCGTTCGAGTATCTGGCGGTGAAACTTCGTAATGTATGGGGTTCTAACTTTCGGAAGCATGAGAACAGCATCAGCTAATGCGCTCCTCCAACAGATCATTTACGCCTTGTTCTCCCAACTCCGGAAACAGGCGCAGAACAATCAGCTCAACGATCTGAAAAACGAGGTGCTTGTTGAGATAAGCGTCATCGAGACAGTCTAGTGTGTTTGCGATCTGTCGAACCTGCTCATCGCGCTCGTAGCTCGCAAAGAAAGCGGCTGCTACTTTCGGTGGTACTAAGTCAAGTAGTCTGGCGGCACAGCAGCGCTTGATCTCCTTGATTTCCTCATACGTTGGAATCTGACGTGGGGGCCCGAGCGCGTTGTTAGGGAAGAGTGTTGCACGAAGAGTCCGAAGCGCCACGGGAAGGAAAGCGGGGTTCAAGATCTGCGTGTGGAAAGCATGAGCGAGGAATCTGCAATCGCGACTGGTTAGCAGATGAGACTTGGATATGGCTAGATTGACTGGTGCGAGATAGGCAGGACGGGTGCGGTAGGAGTTGGACGGATGAAGGAGTCCGCGGGGCGTTCAGCTGGTGACCGCGAATGATGATGTCTGCGGTAGCAGGCCCGGAGCATCGGACGAGAATCGAGTCGAATTGTTGACGCGGCCCATAAAGTGAGGCGCACGCCCATAGCAAGCGAGATTGATGGTCATGCCACTATGCAACTTAAAGCAGGATGTCGTCGTGATGGATTGAAAAAGCCATTCCCAATCTTTCGGGAACAGCATCATTCGCCGACTGTTTCAATGCGCTGCTCAAACAAACTAAGACCATATTGGAGTCCGAGGAGTACGTGCAGGATCCTCAACAGGATGACGGTAGCGATGAAGACCGAAGAATGAGGCGTAATCAGCTGTTGGCGGGATTCATGGTAGGGCCAGAGTTTGTGGCCAATGTCGTGCTCGAACTCTGTACGGCCAGTCCCGAGAGGGACGACGGCCGGACGGTGTGAGCAGATCAACCGGCGCGTAAGCGGCCCTTCCACAAGAGCTAGCATCGTGATGACGGCTCAGGGAACAAAAGCCCTTCGCACGACCCGCAGTATTCTGTGGTCGCTGATGAGAGGCGCAGCACCAGGATTGGTCCGACCTTGATGCAGGCATCGTGTGGTCGCTCATGGTGTTGACAATGGCGACGGCCTAGAGTGTGCCAAGCCTCCTTGTCCGAAACGTGTCGAGTTGCCGCCCGGAACGGGTGCCGAGGCTTGCATAAAGCGGTGCGCCACGACAGGGTTGTTTTGGTGTGTGAGCCTGCGGGCCGTCGCATTCGCTGAAGCGAAGTCAAGTGACTTGAATCGTATGCGGAGCTATCTCATCCTGCGTCGCACGGTGCCACAGGGATTGACCAGCTAGCCAACCAGGGGATGCGAGTGAAGAAAGAGATATTATCGTAACTTACCTGTCCAATACACCATTGGTTTCACCCACCCTACCTGGGCCGAGCAGTGCTCCACGATGAAGCATGGAGATGAAGCCCAACAGCCAAGGCATGCGGACATCTAACTCGGCAAGTTGCGCTACACAGCTCCACAGGCTCATGCTTACTACAGGCCGTTTGGCCTCCAACGGGCGCCTGGAAGCCATCTTTTCCGCTTCCAGTGCTTGCGATTGATTGGCTGCTTCTGCAGATGACTGCTCGGTTGTGGCAGATCTCAACGGAAGGGAAGATAATGTCGTAAGACTCAAGACCACCGCGCGCACCGCAGTAAACGCCAAAAAAGCGTATTGGATGATCGCCCATAGTACACCCGAGATGTATAAGGCCGATGTCTTGTGACGACGCTGGCCGGCGTCCAGTGGCCCTTTTGGACTAATTTCTGACCCTTGATGCGTGGACAGCAGCCCGTAACGCTCAAGACGGGTCAACGACTGCTCCGCATCGGCATCGTCCGATTGGGAATCCTTCTCTTTCGCAGCATCGGTCTGTAAAACCTCAGCTATCCTTGTGATGCCCTCCCATAGCACCCATCCTTCACAGGCTTTTCCGCTAATGCCGTTTCCAAGGATCATCTCTGCGAATATTTCGCCTACCAGGGCGCGTAGACACCCATTTTTTAAGTCTTCTGTCGGTAGCAACAGGGCTAGCACGCCATGTATGAGTAGTTGGCGCCACGCCGACTCGCTTTCCCGCTGTTCAAGGACTGTCGCCGGAGCATCATCGGTAGGCACAGGTGATAGTGCAGGGTGCGGGTGGAGCGTATGATATATCAGACGAGGATCTGATACTAGTGAAATTGACGAGGCGGCTTGAGTCTTCGCTATTCGGAATGCTGACAGGGAAGAATTAGACAGACTTCATGCGACAGTCCAAGTTGAAATAACCTACAGGTCAGGTGGGCTTGGAGTAGCTCAGGTATCTCATCTAGCAATAGTGATTCGAGATCGACTTTTCTGAGGCGCTGCTCCAGACCTCGCGTACAATGAGCGATAATCTGGATCACTTCGTTGACAAATACTTGATCGGGAGTTATCTTCGAGTACCACGTCTGTACAAACTCCTTGATGATAACAGAGATGATGCCGTATAGTTGAAGGTCGACCTCGTTTGAGCTCGTCAAGGGTGGCAATACGTCTTCAATAGGACGAGGTGTACTGCGTCCTTTCTCGCCATTGCCAAGTAGCACATTGTGGGAGCAGAGAGTACGCCGAATGAATGCTGCCGTGGATTTATCCGAGGTAGTATCTAATTGAGGCTTCTGTGTGTCTGCTGAGCGTGTTGCAGCCGCCACACGGGAGTGGTTTTGCACGTTGGTCCCCGTGGCTCCCGGGGTCGACGATGCTGAGGCCTGGTAGCTTGGTGGCTGCGCAAGAGGGACGTCTGGATCGCGGTTCGTACTCTCTGTCATTGCAACGTGATGTTCATCATTGCCAACACCGAATGTAGTTTTCGACACGTGATAGCGCGCTGCGACACGATTCGAGATGAATGTCGTCGTGGAGTTGATACTGGCGAAGGAGCGATGACGACAGAAAGTCAACCACGGTCGGGATTAGCCGAGCCTTGGCGCGTTCCTCTTTGTGACGCGCGCCGCGTCGGTCATCGCACAGCACCAGCCTTCCTAATACCAAACCTCACAACACCACTTACTCTCGCCAACATCATGGCAGCGTTGAGTCCTGATGGTATGTAGTGCGGTACTTCTTCGGCTCGTTCTAACGTGTGCGATAGCGGCGATAATCGACGTGGAAGGTCAGCTGAAAGACATCGTGCAAAACCTCTATAACCTCATCGTGCAAGCGTACGACCACCATGGAAGCAAGACGCAGGAGGCCATAAGGCGGGAGATGTATGCGATAGCTACACCTTGCGTGTAAGCTTTTGAGGCTAACCTTACCGTAGCCAGTCGCTCGTTCAGAACCTGGTTAAATTGTCGAGGACAGCGCCGTCCGTGAACATCAACATTCCTCCAGAGGTCATGTCCTACGTTGAGAACTCCAGAAACCCGGATATCTTCACGCGCGAATTTGTTGAGACCGTGCAGCGGATGAACCAGATGTTGTACGGTCGCGTCGACGCATACCGAGCGCTTCAAGAACAACTCGCCCTGCACGTCTCGAGCGCTATTCCAGAACTCAGAGAAGACGTGACCTCTGTTGTCGAGTCTACAGGCGGCAAGATGCGCGTCTAGGCTCATTACCTTCACCAGACCCAGGTGAATACCTTAAGCGGATTCAAAGTAGCTTCGCAATCACAATATGGATGCTGGAACAGCACGGACACATGCGACGACCAAACTCAGATCACGGAACATACCAAGGAGTACCACATAGCCAATGCATTACGGGCGGTGATAGTTACGACATGGTTGGTATACGGATCAACACTCCGACAGGTGGGGAAGTGCATCAATGAATGCGACCTCGTCCAGATGCTTGGTCAGTCGACTCCGACAATACTCGGAGTAGCATTGGATGCTTCAGACATGGAGAAGATCCCCACAAAACACGAATGAAGATGTCGTTGTAGATGCTGTGCTCTTTTGGGAAAAGATATTGGCAGGGATAGCATTATCCAACACGTTGCAACGAGCTTACTTCTCAGAAGGAACAACAACACTCTCAATCTACTAGATTTGATTGCAACCATCTCCATGCGTCCGTCACATCCGGCTGAGCCACATTGCATCCCTTGCTTCTGCTACCGATTCAGCATGGCGCGATGCTTCCTCCAGACGGCTGTTACACACGGCATTTCATTGATGTGCCGGGTTTAAACTATGTTTCATTACATCGCATTCGTCTCTAGCATTGTGCGTCATGTCTCTTACCATTATATTGTGCGATGAAGGATCTCGTACGACGTAAACCTTCGGCATCCTTGCATAACAGAACACAATCTCGCAGTGCCCAAAACGATGCTGGTTTGCGCTGATCCCGGGCACTCTTTGTGAAGATCCCGGCGCTATTGAATGTCGGGCACTACATCGCTCACATTCAGCGTTCTTTCAGATCCACTTCGGTTCTTTGTCATACTTACAAACCGTGTCTTCATATCAGACTTGTGTTAATATGTGAAGCAAGTATCTATTACGCACCAACGTACATATGCTAAGTTTAGTATAACTACAGCGGTGCGACAATGGGTGTTGGAACTCTCGGTCCGATGGAGATGTCATGCGTTGTGTTGACAGTCTACACGACTCGCTCGGCCGAGTTTCGCGTATAGCCTGACCATAGCAGTTCTTTCCAGGAAGCTATAGCGATACAACAACATGTGAAGGCGGCCGCTCACATCATCCGCTCTGCTCACGTACCGACCTTTGTTGGACGCAGTTCTAGCAAAATCGAGGATTTGTTACTGACAGCAACGTCAATCGGCTGCCATTTCTAGTTACAACGTGACACTGATTGGATAACGCTGATCTAAAGCTTTGCCAAAGGTATCAATCCGTGCGAGGTGCGCATGCAACTTCACAGTTTCTGTCGATTATCGCATTGACGCAGGCGCATCCTGAAGAAGATGTATATGCCTCAAACCCCTCTTGGTGACGTTTGTATGTCATTTCGCATTCTTCATCTTTCCCTGATAAACTTACTGCACCCCAGTTTAGACGCGATGTGAAGCAACGCACCATTATCACTAAACCGGGAAGTGGTTGCCGTTGAATCTTGAGGAAGAGCTCCTGCAAACGCTTGTACGAGTTCTCCAGCCCTTATGTCACTACACCGGCTTCGCATGATCGTCTCTGTACCTTACAAGATCTCATAGATGTCTTCAGCAGACGTTTTGACTCTTGCTACTTCCGTACATATCCGTGTGGTATGGTCATTCACTGTCTGATTTTGGCAAGCGACACGCAAGTTCTACCATTCACTACTTAGCAAACGAATCGCCTGTGACATCATACACATACAAACACTGTGACTCCCTTATACACGGTTGCACCTGCCCTCTCAATCGATCGAGTCCTTTATCGCCCCTGTTGTTTTACACTACGCACTCACTAGCAGTCCAGGATCCTTCAACCCGCTTAGCCCGCAAACACTCTAGGCACTAGCGAACAGACAAACAAACTGATCACGCCATAGTTCAGTCAACCGGATTCCAGGAAGTGTTGAAAGCCAACATGACGTCGTTTTTCTCCAGGCCAATTGCTCCTACATGGACTTCCAGATGCCAGAATGCAGCGCCGCTCTTGTCATCACCAGCGCCAGCGACCGCATCAAGTGTTGCGCATGAGCTTTGCGACTCCCCAAATGCATTCAATCGTCCAGAAATCCAACGGCTCATATCATGGGAGATCGTCCCCTGTCTACATCGCCTACCGCCTTCCCCTGTTCCCAGTCGTTCACCGAGCCCTGGACCATCTCTCCCAGACCAACAACCCTCAGAAGACATAATTCGCGAAGAGTCTCCAGATACAAGGCCAGAGCTCTCATCATCTGACTCCTGCCCCCAAATGAGCACTTCCTGGATATCCTTCGAAGAGATAACACACACTGAAGCCACCTACCCTCCTGAATACACAATACCCTTTGAGTTTGATACAGAAGCTTTCCCGACTCATGCCCATCTCTTTCCCTCCTCACCAAACGGCACATGGCGTAATGAGTCCGTCCACGCGTTGACGCATCCTACAGCTGTTGATTACGCAGCGCTGTATGCGAAACTATGTACACTGGCCGAGGAAGCAACGGATGAGTTCGTTGCAAGAGTAAACCAAGCATTCGAAGGTAGGGACGTACCGGCGATGCACGATAAGGTTATGCAAATCTTTCCTTCGGTCTCAATGCCGGATATGAGAGATATCGAGAAGGCTATAGATACTGGGTGTGACTGGGGAGAGGAACTGTTTGAGCAGAGAGGACGGAGGAGGACTAGAAGGTGGCGGTAAGTGAAGCGTAACCAGAAGTTCGATGGAGACAGGAATAAGTGGTTCATGACCACATTGTTCGAATCATCAGATCTTGGTAGCCGGAGGAATAGTGAAGCTAAATATTATATTACATTAAGTTATCTTCAATGCCTGAACGGCCTTTTGAGAGAAACGAACATTAGTCTAACGAATCAGCGTCGCCGCCGCCATGAAACCCCTCGCTAAATCAACAGTTTTGTCTATTCCATAGCCGTACCAAAGTCTGCCTAGTCCTCTCGATGAAGACTACCTGCCCGTTGACGCATGGCAGAGTGCGGGTGCGCAGCCTCTTCCTCGTCTCGGGGACCACCAGCACCGCCCTCCATAGGACCTCCAGCCTGCATGCCACTCGGTGTTCCGCCAAAGCTGACCAATACAGACGGGTTGTCTGCCGTCAGGGCGTCTAATACGTCCAACTCGTGTGCTGTGAACCATTTCGGCATCAAGAAAGTGCGTAGCGGGATAAGGGCGATGATGAGGACCGGAAAGCCGATAGCGGCGATGGTTTGCGAAATGGCGACTGTGCATGCGACACCAAGAATCTGAAGACCGATGAAAAGCCGAATCTTGTTGCGTGAGACGCGGTTGAGCGGGTTATCGCGCTGGATGAAGCGTTTCTCTGACATGAGGTAGAGCGCCTTGCTGACAATGCCGTTGGATTCTATGGAGCCCCACTATGAAGAGATTAGCATGTCGTATTGAGCTTGAAGGTGGGTTAACACGTACACCGACGACGAAGAACACGCCAGCAAAGACTGCTGCGGGCATGGTGTGTAGTACGATAAGTAAGGGACCGGTCATGGTACCCCAGATGGCCATACCCATCAAGAAATGACTGACACGCTGCTCGACAACAGCAGTAGCCTTGACAAATGGCTTACGGATCTCACCACCGTCTTCCGTTTTGGTGATCTCCAGCCTAGTTTCGTAAACGGTCAAAGAGTCTGTGTGTACAGGTGCTTGCGGAACCAGGCCGTTAGGAAGTGGGAGGCCGATGACGCCACCAACAAAGCATGTGCAGCCGAGAAGGAAAAAGTCCCAGTGAAAACCAGCGGGCTTTTTGAGGGGGTACTGGCGGGCCTGTGCTGTGAGGGATGACACATTCTATGATCAAGGGTTAGCGTTCGCCGATGCTAGAAGACGTGTATGACTTACGTGGTCATAGTAGAACAACAGCATCATCAAGAAGCCGAATGGCAAAGCCACGAATACCCACTTGACGTCAAGATTCCAGAAGTCGATTACCCAGTCTCTATCCTGCGTCGGTGCAAAGGCCTTGCCGATAGGCACTCGGTATAGCCCAGTCTCTTCTAGACGTCCAGGAATATGCGAGAAACCGACCCAAAACAGGGTAGGGAAGACGAAGGAGTAATCGGCGATAATGCTACGAATGCCTGGGGTAAACACCGTACTGTTACCAAGCTTCTCGAGGCCGTAGACAGAGCCGAAGTAACATATCGCAATGACGATGGAGAGGTAGCCGCCGTCAAAACCGGATTCTTGGAACAGATATACTAGCTCTTCAACACCCTTGACTGAATGCAGGTCAATATCGTGTCTTGATATGGCCAGTGACTAGATACATACCACAGTAGATGATTCCAACATACATGCCGAACGTCTCACTCGAGAAGTCAGTGACATAGGCCATGTAGTCGCTGAAGTTTCCGAAGGCTACGATCCAGTGAAAGATGGCAGCCCAAATTCCAACCCACGCGGTAAATGCTGGATAAATGGAAGGGTCATATTGGGTAACAATGTCGTAGATGGTGTAGTTGAAGAGCGCGATCAGACCAGTGACTCCTACGATGGTGAGGGGTTGGCACGCGAGCAAACTAAACACCATGGCTGCTAATGCGGACGAAAACAGGGCTTCGTTGATGCCAAAGAACCCGCCCGTTCGACGGTACATGTCGAGTGTGAACGCTATGGCAGGTAATACGCTAAATTGGTCAGTATAAGACTTGAACGTCTATCGAGATAGGCTTACTTTACGAAGTACATGCGAACTGTACTGGCGAAAGCCCTATACGTGAGCGCGTCGGTTATGTCGCTCCAGTAATAAGGTAGTCTCCTCTTGACATCGTGATACATGCCGCGACCAGGTTGGAGAATGCGCCATCTCCGCCATCCTCTCGCGCCTTGGAAGGTGTACGATTCGTGTGTTGCGGTCCTCTCTAGTATCTCCTTGCTGTTCGAATTTGTCGCGTCTGGCGAATCCATGATGACGGATATGCAAGTTTAATGGACTACAAACGGGCAATGGATGCGAAGCCGCAGAAACTAAAGCTGAAGGAAACCGATCGACGCAATAGATGTGTGCATAGTTTGATCCGGACCCTGAGCATCTAGTCTATATACGCGGGATCAAGTCCAATTACAGAAGCCGGCGCACTACGGCCCCAATGTCATAGCTAAGCTTGGCATCTGTGGAGATCGAGGTTTTGCCATCGATGGGCGAACTGCTTTTGCGCGGAAGGAGACATGATGATGATGTTTAGCATGAAGGTATTAGATAAAGGCGGATGCTTGTCTCGAACAACAGCGTCTGCGCTTCCGACACGATTTCGTTGTGGTTGTTCGCGATAAGCATGTTCATTGTTGAGACATGTTTGGTTGTTTGGTGACGTCTGCCGGAGTAGAGGCCTCGCGTACGTGGTTAGCGTGGCCGTTAGTTCCCGTGCCATGCTGAGGAAGGTCGCCATTAGCCCTGTGTTCCATGGGAGCTAAACCACTCGAGAACCCAACAGACACCATCAGCCCTGTCGCCTGCGGCTTTTTTCTGTCTGCTCGAGCAGCAACTTCCATGGTCTGGGTCAACGTGCACGTTACAACCCAAACTCCGCAACCACGACCATCGTCTGCAGGGCACCGTGCAGCTGTGACATTACTTCTAATTGGTCCAGACGTCTGTACCACACCAAAATGACGTACACGGCTCGCCGAGCGTATGACTGACGCCAAGCGCCATACCGCACGCGGTCAAGAGCGTTTCCATTCCACCCCGGTATCTTTAACAGCTGCTTGAGCAGAATTTCCATCGGCATCGTCACGTTTCCGCGCGCTCCTATTGCGGCATATAGAAAGAGGTGAACAGTGTCGCGACATTGCGACATTCGATCCGGTTGGACTTCGGACAGTTTGTTCAGCCCATGAACAGTCCACCGACCTTCCATTACCGCACGTCTGTAGCGAGTCTTGTTTCGCATCCTGAGGTATTTCTATGGTACGGAGATACCTCCACTGTAAAACTTCTAGTGGGCATCGTGGTAGGTTTTAAATATATCACCCACCTACCCGCACAATGCTCAAGCTTCTTAGCGTCCGGTGTCAACTCCACAGGCTTAATTAATCGTCCGGAGTTTTATCGATATACTTCCTTATCATGAACGCTCTCCAGGACGTCGATGGGCTTTCAGAATGCATCGGCAAGGCGATCCAGGAACATCTTGCTAGATTTAACATCAACATTGCATGGCCGCAGCTCGACAACCTGGATCATCCCATCCTTCGTGTCGAGGCTTTTCTCGAGGAAGCCGATGCCACCCATGCAGCGAGAGCGCAGTCCGAAAAGATCGCATCGGTGAGTTACGTTCCCACCACACTCCAACTGCCAATGTGCAGTAGCGTGTGCTCACGCGTCCACAGAGAACCGTCGATCTGGCGGGCATGAGGACGCCAGCCCCCACAGCAAGCCCAGCCGCAATGGATCTTCAGAACTTTGATGAGACCTCGTCAATGGATGAGTCTCATTCGCGGGACGAGTCGTCCTCGTCGGTACAACAACCCCGCGAGCCCCGCAGGAAAGGCACTGGCGGTCTGAGGGTCTCGCACACTCAGTCGTCGTTTCAAGAAGATCTGAGCGAACACCAACGGCAAATGCAAGTCGATAGCCGCAGCTTCCCAAAGCGGAAGAAGGTACGTGGATTCTCTCAGGCGACATCACGTCAGCCTAGGAATAATCTGAACACCCTGGAGCCTACATTAAGGTAAAAACATACGAAGTAGGTAGCCCAAGGTCAACGTAGGCTCCAGGGTGTTCAGCTTTTCCATTGTATGAGGTGACATCGTTCTCTCAGGCACTCGCCAGACCCTCAGTGGGGGAACGGGTGGACTGCTTTTTCGTGCACCTATGCTCACCCATCTTCACCTAGCTAACGATTTCCAGGTAGCATCCGAGAAGTTTGTCTTCCAACCGTCTACTTTGGACAAGCTCATCATCGGCATTTGGGAGCAAGTACATAGCACGCTCAACCTCGATCCGAAAGCAATCTTCGAACAATTCCAAGTAACGCCCAATGGATCCTCCATGAGTATGGGCATGGTCGGCCATGCGCACACCGATGAAACACCTTCCGCTATGGCAGTACTCAACAACGCGCCGAATCCGATATCCGAATCCTTCAGTCAGATGAACGTCTTTTGTCGCAAAGTTACACAAGCGAGTCGCGTGTGCCGGTCCATCGAAATGATCGTACAAGCCCGCTGGGTCGAACTGTTTGAGGAGCAGGTGTTATACCGGAGCCAATTGAGACCAGAGCTGTCCACAACAAAGCATAGGAAAGCTGTGTTCATGGAAGCGTGTCAGGACTTCGATTGGTCGGAGTAAGTACATACACCTGGAATTGCGCACACATCTTGGATCGCATCTGCTGACTGCTGTACCACCCCAGAAAGGAACTGCGCAACAAAATGGCCATCTGGCGTGGCTACAAAGAAGTGAAGGATTCAGCAGGCTGGGCTGCACTTGTCTTCGCTGGCATGGGCATATACCGGTTCTGCAAGTACCGAGTTGGTTTCGATAAAGATGCCATGCGCCGGCTACGGAATCTGCGAAAACGTCTCGAAGTCGCGGCCGATACCCTACATCCCCATTGGCGCCAGCTTTTGTCCATAGTAGGCGAATCGCAAACCCTTCAATACCCTGGCCATCCGCACGACTGGGTAGTCTTCGAAGACGGATCAGATCCTGTGCCACTACGCCAAACATATCTGCTCCAAGACCCTTACTTTGCCTTCGAGCACATCGACGAGTCGATCATCGATGAATCAGTTTGGGGATGCGAAGACCCACGCTGGACGCCACAGTCGAGCGCAGTGACAAGACCAGGCGGAGCCTACATCTGCGCTCTGTGTAACGAGCCGCAGTCCGACAAACCTCAAGACAATTCCTGTTTCTGTTTCCCGACCCTGTTCGGCTGTGTAAAGCGAAAGCCACCACCCGTTCAGATCATGCGGACTTCCGATGGCAGAAACAACGGTCTAGCTGCATTGACCTCCTTCGACCGTGGTACAGCGATCGGCGAGCTGGTCGGCCTGATAACGAACGGTGTTAGACATCTCGATGTGCTGGATAGCTCAACACCCCTGGCCAGCTATCAAATCTGGCAAGGAAGGGCAGGAAACTTCACTCGCTTCATCAACCACAGCTGTAAGCCGAATGCGCAATGCTCTACATTCACTTGGATAGATACCCAGAGGGTGGTTTTGGTCAGCAAGGGAATAGATGCTGGAAGAGAGGTTACATTGGACTACGGAGACAAGTATTGGGCTGGGCTAGACAAGAGCTGTCTATGTGGAGAGAGTTGTTGCAGGTATCGGAGAGATGGAAGGATCAGATAACATCGTTGGAAGCGACTTGCTATGTTTAACGCACACTTGATAGAACACAGCAACCCTTTTAAACACTGATGTGTTCGAGCTGTAGCAAACGTCATCTTGGTGGAATAATCGCAAATGTTGGGTCCAGACGTGAAAGGCTCGTGTTGCAGTATCGATAAGACTAGCGTGACAGACCCCTGCACAAAATTTCGGAGACACTTGAACCTGAACTATCAGCGTGTCTGCGAAACATCAACGACAACCATGGCGACGTCCGATTACAGCGAGTCCGGCGCGTCAGACCAGGAGATACTCGAGGCGCAATCTGGCGCCAGAAAGAGAAGGAGACTGTCACCGACCGAGCCCGAGAGTTCAGCTTCCGAGGCTGAAGCTGAGAAGCCGCTGCCAGTAGCAGCACCAGTACCAACGATCTCGCGCATCAAAGCGAAACAGCAAGACAAGTCCACGAATACCGCCAGCTCCGCACCAAAAGTGAATCCGAAGCTGGATTTTGCGACGCTCAATGTGGTACCATGGCTCTGCACTTCTTTGGCCAGCATGGGTATCAAGCGCCCAACGGGCATTCAGGCTTCTTGTATACCTGAAATCCTCAAGGGGAAGGACTGTATTGGTGGATCGAGGACCGGTACAGGTAAAACTGTAGCGTTTTCTGTGCCGATAATGCAGAAATGGGCGGAGGACCCAAGCGGCATCTTCGCCGTTATCGTCACGTGAGTACAAACCATTGCTGCCATGTGGGCAGTAGCTAATAGCCATGTAGGCCGACCCGCGAGCTCGCGATCCAGATTTACGAACAAGTGAAAGCGATCTCAGCGCCTCAATCCATGAAACCCATTCTCATCACCGGAGGTTCAGACCAGCGTTCTCAGGCCATCGCTCTCGCAACGCGTCCCCACGTCGTAATCGCGACACCAGGCCGTCTAGCAGAGCACATCCGCACTTCAGGCGAAGACACTATCTGCGGCCTCCGCCGCGTGCGCTTCGTCGTCTTCGACGAAGCCGATCGTCTTCTCGCCCCAGGAAAAGGCTCCATGCTCCCCGATCTCGAGACCTGCCTCTCCGCGCTGCCCCCCAAGGAAACGCGGCAAACCCTTTTATTCACTGCCACAGTAACCCCGGAGGTTCTAGCATTGAAATCGCAACCGCGCGCACCGGGTCGTCTTCCCATCTTCGTATCTGAAGTAGATACAGAAGATCTGGCGATTCCGCCCAAGCTACAGCAGAGGTACCTCCAAACACCTGTCACGCACAAAGAATGCTACCTGCACGTCCTGTTGAACACGCCCGAGAACCTCAAAAAGAGCGTCATCATCTTCTGCAACCGAACCAAAACAGCCACCCTACTAGAATACATGCTCCGTCTCCTCGCCCACCGCGTAACCGCCCTGCACTCAGGCCTCAAGCAAAACGACCGCGTGAGCAACCTCGCTCGCTTCCGCGCACAAGCCGCTAGAATCCTAGTCGCGACCGACGTCGCAGCCCGCGGTCTAGATATCCCAGAGGTAGCTCTCGTGATCAATTTCGACGTACCCCGTGACCCGGACGATTACATCCATCGTGTTGGTCGTACGGCGCGTGCGGGCCGTGTGGGAACGAGTATCACGTTGATTGGACAGAGGGATGTGGAGTTGATTCTGGCGATTGAAGCAAGGGTGGGCAAGAAGATGGAGGAGTTTGAGGAGGAGGGTGTTAGTGTTGAAGGGAGGGTTGTGAGGGATGCGCTTAAGCCTGTTACGGAGAAGAAGAGGGAGGCGCTGTTGAGTATTGAGGAGGGGAGGGATGTGCTGGGGAAGCGCAAGGTGGGTATGCAGAGGAAGCGGACGGAATGAATGTAGATGTCTGGTTGGGCTCGTTGTAGATGAAATGGACGAGTCAAGCGGTATCATGCAGGGTTCTTTCATACTCATGATATTCAGATGATACATATTTTATGCTCTTCGCTAGAACGCTATAGATCGATACATGAAACAAGATACATTACTCATAACACTTCGCTGCTCACGGCGACCCCTTCCTTGGCCTGAATACTGTGTTGAAGTTCTTTTGCGTAACGAACCAAGCGTTATGAGTCTTCCACTCAGCATCAGGGTGCTCAAGCTCGATCTGCAAACAGTGTTAGTACCGTCCAGTCTTCAAAATCATCAATAGTGAGACTTACCTCGAATCTCCTTAGGAAACTCGGCACCAGCTTGTAGATCTCAAGAAGACTGATGTTCTTTCCAATGCACGTCCTAGCTCCAGCACCAAATTGCAACATCGTGCCCTTCATTTCCTTCAGCTTATCCGGATTGGCCTCAACCCAGCGTTCAGGACGGAAGGTATCGACATCTACACCGAACACCTCCGGTCGGCGGTGGACAATCCAAGCGTTGCAGCCGACGATAGTGCCGCCGGGAATGAATTCGCCGCAGATCTGCATACCCTGCTTGGGTACAACGCGCTCGAGGATAAGGCCGGGTGCGGGGTGGAGACGGAAAGACTCTTGAATGACAGCGTCGAGGTAGGTGAGATTTTGGGCTTCGGGCCAAGAGACGGTCTTGTCAGGGCGAGACTCGACAATGCCATCTGCTACGGCGGTATCCAATTCTTGCATAAGCTTCGCATAGACGCGCGGGTGCTTGACGAGGAAGTAGAAGACGGCTGACAGCGAGATGGCGGTTGTTTCTGAGCCAGCGAAGACCATAGATGTGCATGTTGACAGGATGCGGTTATCGTCCATGAATTCATGGTCGTGGCTTGCTTGCGCAAACTTGGAGAGGAGGTCGATACCATGAGGGTTTGCCTTTTCGTCGTCGGAGAGGCCGAAGCGCTTAATCTTCTCGACTTGTGTGGCTCGCTCGTTCGATCGGTTCAGGGCGAAGAGAGTGACGGGGTGGACACGCTTGTCCAGGCCGATGCGCTGTGCGAGGAGGCTGATGGGATTCTTCCAAAGAAGACGGTCGAGGATAGGAATTTGGCCGACCTGAGAACGCGTAAGTATGACCCCATGCATACCAGGTTCTGCTTGTGACGACTTACCGGTGCGACGTAGTCGAAGAACTTGCCCAAGAAGCCAATAATGTTGTCCACGTCCTTGTTTCCTTCAACAAAACCCAGTCGCTTACTCCACGTCAACTCGCCGATAACGTCGAAGGCGAAGAACTGCAGCCATTGACTGAAGTTGCAGCTCTGGCCAGTCCTCGCGAACATGTCCTCCGTCTTGTCCAGCCAGTATGTGAGTGTCGAGCTGACGAGAGGCTCGTAGTTGACGAGCGAACTCATGGAAAAGGCGTTGTTGACGCATCGGCGGTACTTTGCGTGGAAGTCTTCGTCGGTGGTGGAGAAGAGGGAGAGCAGCGGCGCGCCTTTGGACACGGCGCCTTGGACAGGGTAGAAGTCAGACTGGAAATGTTAGCTGTCGCTCAGGAGATTGACCGACACGTGCATACCTTGGTAACACCCTTATTCAGCCCATAGATAGCTTTGATAGCCTTTGGGTCCGCGAAAGACAGGACATTCGGCCCCAATCTGACGATGTCTCCATGCTTGCGATGCAACGCGAGGTTGGTCCATTGATGATTGTGCTTCGACACATCCCACAGCCGCCACCAGTTGGTGTATCCCGCAGCCCAATGTCCAGGGTATTTGTTCAGACCGTTCCAGTACTTGTTGTTGAGGAGATATGCGATGGTAGTTGTAGCCAGTACAAGCGGCCAGTACTGCACCAGCAGCGGCACGATCTCGTTGGCCAGCATTTCGCGCGATCAATCTACCCGGTAACAAGGTATTCAATCCGGGGTCTGATAACGGTAGCACGTGAGTAGGTATATAGCAGAGTAAGCAGCGCGACACGTATAGAACGCTCGCCCGGGGCAAAAGCTCATATAAATGGCAGCCAGCCGTCGGGCCTGTGCCGCCCACTTCCCGCGTCGTCAGGCAGTCGGGTCGGAGTCGGAATCGCCATCGCAACGCGTCTGGGTGCTTGCGCAAGATTGTGTGTGTCGGCAGTTGATAGCTGAGGCGTGAGATGATGAAGGTGGGTCGGTGGCTGGACTGGAGCGGCTTGGAAGGATGACGCGGGGACAGTAGCTCCGGGGCGCTTTCGCGGGGTAAACCTCGCCCATCACACTGAACGCCCATCCTCAGCCCTACTCATTGGCCTCAAAACTCGGTTATCGCGATGCATCCAATTTATCTACCTGGCTCTGATTGGCTAAATCGCCTGTGTACAACACTACGCGGGATTGAAGTGATCGCAAACCCAAGTCTCTCACAACGCCTCTAGATTCGGCGCAGCATCGCCAATGTGCTCTGTGCTATTCTTGAACTGCCGATTATCGTCACTTCGACAGCTAAACCTTGTGTGAGACGATAGCGAGGGTTTGTGGACCTTTGTCCGTCGGCAGTTGTATTCGAATGTCATAATTGCAACTGCCGATATCTGAAGAGGGAATGGGCGCCGAAGCCTCCGAGCTGTCGTCACGTGGCTCCGGCTACATCTGGCCCTCGGCTGACATGTAACCTTTCCAGCAATTTGTGAGAATCATGAAATTCCATGTTCGTACGAGTCGTACAACGTAAGTGCGTTCAACGATCGGCAAAAATATGCGCAATTTGTGTGCAATGCATCGTCTGATAGCAAGCACAGATCGCGAAATATGCGCATGGGTTTTACCATAATGATGGACGAGCCAAGTGCTATGCCTTGCAGATAAACATGGGCAAGACCCAACTGCGTAACCCGGATATATGCGAGCCCAGCAGAGTCTCGACGTCGGCGGCCCTCCCGCACTTCTCTTTCGCCTTCGTCACACTCTGCATCACAATATGTACTCAACTGGTGAATTGTGTAGTGTAATCTGATGAGAGAAGTAGAAATTGAGTCGAAGTCGTGCACAAAAGAGTTTTGATCAAAGTTTTGTATTGCGAGTATAGGGTAGTACTTCTTCTTGCATATTGTTGTGTCATGCAAAAGTATTGACCACCGTCTACAGGTTAGCCGGTGTTGAACCGACTGAAGCCATCCTGTGCACCAGCACAATGAAACCATACTGCAAAGATGAAGACCAAAAGCGTGATCCAGAGGGGCATGTGGCCGCTTAGCCAGTGCACTGGTAGTCATAGTTCATGCGCGAAGCATCCGTATCCTTAGGAACATAAATAGTAACCCGCCTCCCATTCGCCTCAAGCGTACCCACATGCGAGTCGAAAAAGGGACGCCAGTAGACCTGGCCAGTTCCACCAGGGCAGTCAATGTTGATGGTAACAGACGTGGTGCTCGTCATGGTTGTGGAGAAGCCGGCGGAAACGCCAATCTCTGCGCTGACTGCGTCCCATGCACTTGCACCCAGACTGGCACTTGCTGTGATGGAAAAGGTCTCTGACTTTGCCTCTGAGACTGTGTAGGCGCCGTTGTTGGGGACTTGGGCGACGAAGACGGCGGAGCCGGGCATGTAGACGTTGTAGGATGTGACGACGTCTGAGAATCTGTCCGCTTGCTGTGTCGTGAATGGTTAGCTTTCGGAGAAAGAGAAGGATGAAGCTGGTGTACATACTCGGCTCTCCAATTCGTTGACTTTAGGTGCCGTGGCAATCTCCGCCACCAGGCTTTGAAGCTCAGCTTTGTTCTCCTCGACAGTAATCTCCTTGTAGTTGGTTGCTGTAGCCGTAGACATCAAGCGCCATTCAGTGGCGAGCCTGATAGCGACCTCGGTCCAATCCGCAGGTGGAGCTGGTGACTGGTAGCCGCCCGTATCCTCTGCGCAACCATCTTCGATGGCTCTGGCTCTTCCACCCCAGCTAGAGGCAGAATCGCAGACTTCGTACTCCTCGTTGTTGCAGAATGAGATGCGGCAGTTGCCTCGTGTCCAGATGCGGCATTCTCTTGGGATGACGCAGACACTCATGTCTGGGTTGGTGCCCTCGCCGAAATAGCCGTTGCCACTCATGATGTTGCGGCCTGTGCATTTGGAAGAAGCATCAGTCTTGCTCTTCAATGTGAAGATTGTAGAAGCAAGAGGGGTCGGAGTACTCACAGTCAGCCCAGTTAGGCTGCAACCTCGCCTCGCAGAAGATACCGCCAGTCTGCGTTCCGTCCCAGTCCTCTTGACGAGGAGCAATTGGGGAAGCAATTCCCATTGCCGTAAGCGTCGGCAAAAGGGTGAGAAGGTAGTTCATCTTGTCGAAGAAGCAGTCTTGAGGTCGAGGATGTACCAGGTGATCTGAGAAGAAGGTGTTTGGCTGTGATGATGGGATTGAAATCAAAAACACATCTCTTTATACCTTTCTGCCCTTCCATCTGCCTCACGAGCATCCGTGTTAGCAGCGTCATGGCTGGCCTGACTATGCACAATGTCTACTATCGAACATGGGATATGGTTTGCCTTGAACGGCAACCACAGCTCTGAGCTCTACCGATTGGTGCTCTCGTACACTATCGTTGATGTGCATATTTCTGGGGGCCAGAAGTAATGCGCTACTCAGAGCATACGATACTTGGCTGCTGTCATCCAGTGTCTTAGAACGATGTCTAAGATTAGCAGAGCCTCTTGCCAGGCAGAAGCATCCGAGTTTCCCGGTGGTGGTAGATTTGGAAGAGTGGAGAAGGGGCCGGAATGAAGACCTCAGATATATCGATCGCAGGAGGATATCACGGTCCCAATAACTTCTCGTGGTGCCTGCTCCTCTAGGACTTCAGTGCCTTCCGTTTGTAAGTCTTGCGGGAATGTGACAGGGCAGACGTCATGAATCGAATGTTTTCCATCATTCCATGTGTTCTCAAAGAGAATTCGACAAGACTGAGCCAACTTCCTCTTCCAGCTTCACGACACGCTCGTCGAGACAACCCAACACGAACATGCATCGGCTAGCACGGCGCGGGCCTAACATCCCCACGTTTCTTTCCCCAAGGCTCTTCTATGGTCGAAAACTTTGTGAAGGCAACGGCAAGTCCGAAGTACGTGCCTAGGCAAGGTTTGGAGCCTCGAGGCGAGCGAAGAAGAGGCACCAAGACGACCGCCAAGTGCCAAGAATTCCGATCACTCCACAACCACCGTGGTTGTTTGTCTCTTAAGGGTTATTTCCCCACAGTAAGCTGCTCAATGTAGCGAAAACATGCGAATGTAACGAATGCGATGCAACCTGTTCACGTTAGTTTGAACATATTTACGCCCTGCAGGTGCGACGGGGCGGACTACCATGGCAGCCCATATTGACCTTGACACCGGAGTATGTCAACCATCCGATTACCCGTCTGGAAGACAGCGGAGCCTCTCATCCTTTCCCAAGACGTAGTCGCCAGTTGATGCCTCGCGGGGGGCCTGTTGCGGTGCGAGCCGCACACCCGTCACTGCAGGTACCTTGATGTCCTCTCCGCTCTTGGCGAACTCCGCTGGAAGACTGCTACGTCATGTTAGGTCCACCGTGAGGCTGATTCACACAGCAATGTAAAGGCGGTATGTGCCTACTTCTAAATGTCTTTGATGCTTGATACTCCCGCTCACACCGGGTTGTGTTGAACATCATGGCCAATTTCGTTCTGCTAGCTGCATCGCTCCTTCTCACCTCATGTTCCGCGCAAGAATCGAATGACACATCTTTGGAAAGATGTCAAGGCCCCATCGACAGTATCGCCAGTGGCAGTCAGTACTTCAACTCGACCGGAACGGCCCGCCTACCCTCAAACCCAACACACGACGATGACTGGTACGTCAGCGTCACCATCACCGATAGACGCGATCCGAATCACATCTACGGGACCGAAATGCCCTGGCAAGAGAGGGAAGCGTTTATAAGTGTTCCTGATTCGCTGGTTAGGAGTCAAGATGGCAATCAGACGGAGTACTGCGTCTACGAACTCCCGGGACAAGACGCCTCTTCGCAGCAGGAAGCTGGAGATTGCAGCGGCGTGCTGAGCGACGACTGCATTGACGCGTTGATGAAGAATACGCCGGTCATGTCGGATGGCCAATGTTATAAGCCAGAGAATGTGGAAGACGCCTGTGGGATGGTCGCGTCGCAGCCAGTAGGTTAGTACATCCCGCTCTTATCTCGGTCCAGCGACAGGAGCTTCGTGACCTGCTCATCTGCTCATACATCGAGCTTGTACTGACGTCGTGGAAAGGTGCACCATCGAACTTCAACAGTAGCGAGTGCAGTTTGTCCGAGATGCCGCATGTCGAACTACCGGACAATTATCGCACCTACTACGCCCACTACGTACCAGTGTCTGAAGGTGGAGGTGGTTACGAGAATTTCGACCTTTACGATGGGCACGTTCGCGAAGCAGTGCCCATGGTCTTCACCATCAAGTCTCCAGGTGGCACCATCGCCCACAAGGCCGTTTGTGTAGCACCGAACAATGTCGTTGACGGTAGCCGTGTTCCAGAGTCTGCGGCTGCTCAGTTGTCCTCCGGGGCTTCACTGGTAGCAGCCCTTACTGTTATGGCTTTTGTATCTGTTCTCTCGATAGCTTGATAGATCTTGGCATTTCCGTGTCTTTTACTTGCAGCTTAAAGTAACGATTATCGCATCCGGTGACTTGTAGCATTAGCGTTGTAACGGTAGTAACACCGGGAATGACAGTCAAGCCGAGCATTTAGCTCTAGTCAGTATGATCGGGTGACCCGCAATGTGTCAAAACCTCGGAGCTTGAAGCGACATGTTGGTATACAACTGGGTGGGTTGCGACAAAGTTTGGGGCGCGAGAAAAAGCAAAAGGATCGACGATATGTCGCTGCCTCGAGGCAATACCCGAATACCGTAGACATGTGATTGTAGGTAGGGTCGGCGTCTCGCTACACCCGATGGTGGGCTGTATATTGGAAGACTCGCGCGATAATGATTGTCAAGTCGGCAGATGTGTATAGCCGAGATCCTTTCGTGAGAATTTGCTTGAAGGATTGTCAAGTGAATGTGTTAACCGAAAGCGGGAGGTGACAGTACTGTTACAGCAACTCCTGACGATGGAGCGTATTGGGATCTGAGATTAGCTACCATCTAGCCGAAGATCTACAAGACCTTTGACTCGTAAACACCTGTCAGCCTTGATTCCTCGGGGCTACATTCCTGATAATCTACCCACGCGTGCATAACTTCTCATCAGCCTGAACACTGCACATACTTCTCCGCGGCAGTGCACAACGACGACTACGGCTGATTATTTCCGACTAGAAGAAATATGAGGCTTCGGTGGGTACGTCAGCGGCTGCGTAAGAGGGTCTAGATGCGACAGTGTAAAAGCGAAGTTGCGATCCCAGCATACAAGTCTAGCCGAAACGACGAGCAGTATGGCGAAGCGCCGACAAAGCTCAACAATCATGCCCTGCCTGCGCTCCGCTCAAAAAGGCAGATTAGGGTCCAGGAACATGGCTTGACAAGCGACGACTACCGATCGCCTGTGGGTGCAACCCCATTTGGTTCCAAGGTTCCCGTCGATTAGTCGATGAGGTTGGGAACGACGGGCCAGCCATACCACTAGGACCACGATCCGACACCCCCGATCGAGCTGTTCTCAACTCTGCAGTGTTGAGGTTCGCGGGCGAGAAGATGGTGTGGTGGATACCAGAGCTACGGTAGCCCAAGCTCCCCGTCAAGGATGATGGGGGCGGCTACCATATCTGACCCCGCTCACATCTCATAGGGAGACCGTTTGGACAAGATACAGCCCCTGAATTGAAGACTCCCTATATTTCCCATGTTGTCCAGAGACCTTGTCTCATTGTTTCTCAACAAATCGTCTCCTAGATGATTAGAACTGATCACTGGCTTAAGACGATACCCAAGTGGCTTGGGTAAAACGGAAGATCGGACGAGGCATCTCTCGGATCTAGCGCTTATACCAACAAGGACGCTTGGATAGCTTCGGAGAGCGAGGCACGAGCCAAACAAGTCTTGAAGACAGGGAATCGTAGTATTCGACTTTGGTGCTCGAGCCGGGGGCATCAGCCATGGGTTTTCAGGGACTTTGGGATAGAGCAGGGACCACCTTGTGTAACCAGAGTATAAAGGCCTAGCAGCCCGTGTGAGAAGATGGTTCAATCAGCAGTCGGGCTGGCTTGTGATCCGGCTGCATAGTTGCCCACCTCTATGGCAGGTGAAGAGACGATATTTCCAAGATTGACCGGGCCCGGAAAGCGAGCGCATTAGAGGAAAGCAGCCGAGCAGGAAAATTCTGCAGCGCTTGAGGTCAAGACAAGTGCCGTGCTCCGCACATGCGCTGGTGAGTATGCTCGAAGCTTGCTTGCTGTGGGTGAGTCATCTAGGTCCACGTCGCGATGCAGGCGTATGCGGCCGCCGCTTCGCCGACATATTGTGAAACACGACGGATGAATTGCGTGCATGATCAGTCATACGTACATATGCTCCATGACGACGCTCTATCACGAGCAAGACATTGCTGTGTTGGAGGGTAAATGTTGGGCGAGGACGGGCCTGGGAAAGGGTTGAGTCGTGGGGGAAGGAGCCACCCGCTTCGTGTCGGCTTAAGTGGGGCACCTGACCCGTCTGTGCCCCTGTCAAGCTGAAAAGGCAGGAAACGGTCACGAGTATCCTTACACGTTGCGATATAACATCATGCTCTGTATGCACGCACGATCCTTTTGAATCATGAAATCGGCACCAGCAAAAGTAAAAGCATCATGGCAACGTGGGGCAGTCGGCCACGGCCGCGGCGCATGTCCAGGACGTTGCCCCGCGTATTCGTTTGCTATGAGGCGCAGCGACAAATCCCAGCTGCAGGTCTCGGGGTCGCCTTTGCAGGTCTGAAACATGGCAATGTGGGATGCTATCGATAAGTCCGTACAGATGGGACGACTGGACGGCGCTGGGGTTGCCGAGCATTGCGTAATGCTCTCGCTTTGCTTCACTTGAGGATACTTTTCTCCAATCGCGCAGCTGTAGGCCTGGCAGGCGATGCGGATTGAAACGGAAACAAGCTCTCCGATGCAGCCTTTCTTTTGCGCAGAAGCGACCGTTTCCCATAGAGACAGGTGGTATCGGCCGGAGCGAGTTATTGCCAGTTTATTGCCAGGTCACTGTGGGTAACATCGTCATGAGGCCCGATTGTGTCGGTACTGTAGAGGTGACATCGGCAGCGCCGAATTGATCTGCCTCGAGGTGGCATCGTCACCGCCGGAGCGCACGTGTCTGCGGCTGTGCAGCCTAAGCGAGAGTGGCGCAACTGCCGACGCCACTTGGATAGTCGTCTTGCTTCTTCGCAGGAGCAGCATCATCGTCATCAGGGCACAATTGCGCAAGCAGGAGTCGTAGAATATTCGCATCGTGCTTCAGCAGGCGCCGAAGCTACTCGACCATGGACGCTGGCATGATAAACTTCTGGGCCGTCTGCGGCTCACATGATCGCGGGTTTTTCGGTAGAGAACCCTGCTCGCATCCCTGCTGGGCCCGCTGATTGGGCTGACTGTTTCGAGCCCATTTTTAGGCTCAAGCAACGTCAACCTGTAGATGGCCCAAGACTACCACGACTACACCCACCGTGAAAGTCCTGCTCTGTGAAACCCCTTGACAAGCGTAGAGGGCTCGTCCTCCCTTTAACCGCACACTCCCCAAAAGGGTAGCAAAGCCGCTGCCGTGCTCTCTGCTTCCGGACGCCCAAAGAAGGCTTCTGGAATCCGTGTCATGTCGCAACACCAGATGCTCGACGCCCAACTATAAGCGCAGTTGCAGGCTCGAGGATGCTGCGACGCTCGCCTACGGCGTGTATCCATGTGCAGGTTTGGTGGCTGCTGCGGCCTCCCGATCAGGTTTCTGCGGCCTCGCATGCGTCTGCAACCGTGAGGCCGTCTTCAGCTGCCCTGGTGCACAGCACTATTCGGTCATAGTCGTCGATTACATTTGCTATTTCCACTGGGGAGGCTGATCAGACGCCTCTTTCGCAGTCATCTCCGCGCGTGCATGGCCGAGTAGTCGTTCGCACAACACTCGCAGCCATGAGAGCATCGCAATCTTCGCGCACCACACGCATCCGCCTATCCACGCGTGCGCAACGCGCTCGCCGTGTCCGTCGGTCAGCTTAGATCCGACTAGACCTGCAGCTGCGGACTCTGGCCGTATGCACGTTTAAACAAGCTAGATGCGCAGTGCAGCTAAACGGGGCAGTGTGCATGAAATCCTTGCCGACAAGTGTGGCCACGCCGACCCATGATCGTCGCTTGTAAGCTCTTAAGAGATCCCACCCACCACCACCACTAGCCTTCTTCACCCTCCTCCCACCTCGCCTTCCCCCATCCTCATTCGCCCGCCCCTCCCTGTCTCTCCTCCTCAATCCAAGGCGCCTCTCGAAAAATTATACCCGCCAGAGACATTTTCTTACAACCTCTCTTTTGTTCTTTTCTTTGAATCTTTGATAAATCGTCCCATCCTAATATCGCAAACGTCTCGCACATACCACACACACAACATGCCGATCTCGTTACTACCCGCCTCGGCTGCGGCCTTTGCGCCCCGATCAAACGTCAACGTCGTATTAGCCTCCAAGGTCGAGCCATGGTTAACACAAACCCTCAAGAGGGTCAACCGCGTCAAGCGTCCGTTGAACAGCGTCCAGCAACACACGAGGTGTCTGACAGAAACCCTTTCCGGACCCAACGCTATGTGGTCGCTGTGCTCAATCATGGTACCAAAGGCCCCGGACTCGGAACTGCGCAAGGACAACAACCCGCTGGTAGAAGCGCTCTTCAACTACCAGCTCATCCACATCGAGGCCTACGTCGTACACGTCGACATGGTTTCACAACATGAGGTCGCATTCAAGCTTACACCGGAGACCATCGAAGCGCTTATCGAGTACCACAAGGACATCTACTCCGTCGATGTATCCGCCAGCACCTGGGAATGGGCCGAGAAGGAGCAACAGCTGAAGAAGCTCCAGGATGGATTTGTCCAGGCTGTCAACCGCTACGTCTTCCGAACTGGTGTCAAGGCTCTGGAAGGGCTCGAGGAGGATGGTGCGGGAGAGCTACTCGAGGGACGAGGTGAGGATGTCAAGAGTGCCATCATGGGCCTGTTCCTCCCGCTCCTTCCTCCTCCTCCCAGGATCGTCGACGTTGTCCGACCAGCACCGCTTCTCCCAAGCTCGCCCGGCTCCGCCAACTGGTGGGTGCCAACGCAGCAGTACCAGTCGCACTCAGCCCCGGTTGACACATGGAGAGTGGTCCCATCGACGCCCAGCCCGACCATCGCTACCTGCGGTGAAACTGGACCAACATTCTGGAGCACCATGGGCAACATGGGCTTCGAGGCGATCCAGCTTCCGTCACCGACACCCTCCTACAGCCAGCCATACAACTCGACGAGCCCGTACGCACCGTGCACTAGCCCATATGCGCCAAGCACCAGCCCATACACGTCAAGTTCGTACTACAGCCCGCCCCCAGCGTCGGCACCGATACCAGCCCTTCCTCTGCCGAGCGTGCTAGCCCAGCAGTGCGGGTCAAGCGCCGTTCACGGAGGTTTCGGCGGTTTCGGATGGGACACAGGATTCGCACCACAGTACGCAGCATTCACATAAGCTGAATGACAAACTCGACTGTGGTGTATGCACCTGTTCTCTGTCGATGCTGGGAAGCGTGGACCTGGCCAGTCCCCCTTGCACTTCCCTTTACCGCGCAGGTTGCCGAGCGCACCAACCTTGCGACGCCCGACACGAGACGAATGCGATATTCACGACATGATGTGCAAACATCACTACCCAACCGGCATGGGACGGCGTTTTATCATTGATTCCTTTTAGCGAGCGTCATTTCCCCTCTCCTTCTCCGTACATTTTCTTTTTGATACCTGCTCTCACGTTATCCGTTTTGTTTTTAGCGAGCGATTTCCTTTTTTGTCTACCACAACGGCCGGACCAGGTCTTTTCATTTACTTGAATACAGCATCTCTGGGAGGCATGCATGTCGGGCATTTCAAACGGAAGACGGTTAAACAACAGCCTCACGGCTCACGAGGTCAGGCACACTCGGTTTTGGGATTTTTGTTGTGCTTTTTTCCTGTTTGTTAATGTCGTTTTACAACTCCTGGACGGATGCGCTATCTCTTCGTTGAGCCTGTGGCATGCCATGACTCTTTACGATCTGACGCGATTCACGTTCACGAATTACGCTTACTTGGCCTGGCATTGAGTGTCAGCTGGATCTGCCGAGAGGCGGCGACAAAAGTTATACATGCATCTGCGATGCCGCTGTGATAGCTCGTCTCTGTTGCGAAGGAGGACTGGGTCGGAAAAACTAGGGAAAGCGACTGCGCGGGGTCGAGACATGAGCACGCCCGTGGCGTCTCTGCCTCTCGGGAGGTGGTCCTCTGCTTGCGGAGCAAACACTTCCTGGAGTACCTTTGCGCTATCGCTGACCTTTCTTCCGACTTGGGATACTGGATGCACGGAGACTGTAGGTTCATCTCCTACACTTCAAGCAAGTTCTTGGAAGAAGCACTCTCCTGGTTGATCTGGGAGCAGTTGAATCGGATGCTGGAACAGAAGCAAGCTTCTTTAGCCTTCTAAACTTAATAAAAAACGAAACTTGAATCAAACAAATCAACTGTTCAAAGAAGTGTGCATCGTCGCGAGTGAGACTTGATGATTAACATGGAGTGCGACGACGGCCCTACAGCCTGACAGCCACGCACTGCCAAACTAGGACTTTCGCATTCGCGTCGATCATCCTCGCAGATCAAGAACACGATACCCACTTTCGATGCGACATGGAACATCGCATCACCCGAGCCCTTGGTGTTGGTAAGTGACCACTTTTTGCGGCACAGTTTGGCGAGGCCACCAGGCGACGCCGCCACAACAGCGCGCGCAGCCCGCAGCCTGATGTTCTGCCCAGCCGGCCTCGCCAACCTTCAGCCCCACGCAAATCGCAAGCAAGCCCAGCCTCCCATTCCATCAACCATTCATCCTCTCAACACCGCGACTGCCACAGGGCTACCGCGCTCATTAAACTGAAGTCAGAAGCAGTGGAAGCCATAAAGTCGGAGTTGGAAAATATACAGTCGATGGAAGATTTGACACAGTGAACAGTCGACAAACGAGGCACTATGCCAACCCTGACAAACATCCGGAACATTTGATCACAAAGAGCATCAGTAGCAGAAAACATACTTGCTGTCAAAGAGAATATCACATCGCGTGATCGCATGTCAAGCTAACCTTCGCCTTATAACCACGTCTTAGACTTTGACTGAAGCTCATCTCTCAGCTTCTCATATATACGCGAAATCTACCTAGGTACTCATTCACTATAAGCATCGTCAGCGCCACAGCATTCACTTTCTACGCGGCGAGAATATCCATCTCGTTTCCTTGGTGAAAGAACAACAGGCGGCTGAAGAGGGTGTTGTCCGCCTTCCACGTCTGAACTGAGCAGTGCATCACCATGTGCAGATACATTCACTCATTCACACTGAACGGAGTAAGCTTACAACCTCAGCTCCTCGCCAGCCTAACGCCATGGCCTCTCCTGAATTCACTATGGCTTCAGTCCCACCCTCTGCATATAAAACACCCCCCTCCTTCCCCCCTTAGCCGTTCTCCATCACAGCACCGGAGTCAACTCTCAACCCACTCAACAGTCTACGCGTCGAACCCAGCTCAGTATCACCACTAGCAAATTCCAAACTTTGCTCGACCAGAAACAAGCTGTCTGCATCCCACCAATCACTCCCATCTTATCGCAAACATCAAAGCAGAGATGGCGCCCACTCCCATCGCCAAGCAGATGGAGCAAGCTGCTAAGAAAGATACAAAGGCTGCCGCTCCGTCCCCTAATGCGAAGGCCAACATCCTCGCATCTGCTTTCGTGACCGCCCCTGGCCCCAAGAAAGCCATGAAAGAGTCTGAGAACAAGATGGGCGACGTAGCCAAGATCTACGAGCTCTCCCATGCCGACCGCATGGTACTGGCTAAGGGCCCGAAGGTGAAGATTGTCGACAGCGAGGATGCACCAGTAGCCGAGATGCCAATCGCTCTCTTCCGCGCAGTCTCCATCAAGAAGGAGATGGTAGCTGGCTCCGATCCAGTGATCAAGCTGCCAGCAGAACTTGACTTGCGCATGGTCCAGGACCTGATCAAGCACTTCAACGAGATCACCACCTTCAAGAAGTACGCGAAAGAACTGCACCCGTACCAAGCCCCGGGGACATACGAAGATATTCAGCTATGCAGCGCCGCAGACTACCTCGGCATGATGGCGTACACCCAACGAATCTTCAACCGCTACTGGGCCCTCATCCGCGCGGAGCGTCTCCCAGAGTACTCCGACATCGACGCCTTTTCCACTGTCCAGACCCCCATTGGCGAGAACCTCTTCCGCAAGGTCGTAACCAAGCTCGCTCAGGCCGAGCTTGACGGCAAGATCCCCGATCAAGAGGACTACGCGGCCTATCTTGTGCACAACGAGCGTTTCGGACTTGCTGTAACGGAAGCAAAGGAGAAGGCGCAGAAGCATCAAGACTACGTTGAGCGCACGGCCAAGCGGGAGGCGAACGCACAACAGAAGAATGCTGCCGATCAGATGTGGTCGCAGCAGCGGAAGCTGAACGAGAAGGAGAAGGCGGAAAAAGATAAGGCGAAGTGGGATGCCGCGAGGAAGACGGAGGCGGAGTTGGCGGCTCGTGTCCAGGCGAAATGGGTGCAGCCGGGGAAGAAACATTGGACTGCGGAGGAGGCGGGGTATCTGCGTCGTGTTCGTGGGATTAATGTGGCTATCTAGGCGCGGCGATGATACCTGCGACGTGGTGGTGGTTGTGTTACTGTAGCTGGGCCTGTAGAGGCTAGTATGTGCAGTAGTTGTTTATCTTTGTCTGCATGGGTACATCTATAGAGCAAGAGAATATGGTAGCTAGCATTAAATGAGCTTTTTGTCATTACATGGTCTCATCCCTTATTTACTCGTGTCATCTCTTATAACACTGTGTAGCTTCACTCACAAAACTCTCGAGCCATAAAAGAAAAAAAACTAAACAGGTCTAGAGCCTACATTAACGCTAAGTCACCTATCTTGTAGAGGTTTAAGTTGATGTAGGCTGCAGGCCTGTTTAGCTTTTTTCTTGGTCTGCGTGTCCTGGAGATTCCTAGGTGCTGTTGTGCGACTGTGCTGTGGTGCCGAGCAATGCGCCAGTTCAGAGATATGCAGAATTCCTTCCAGTTCGAATAAATATGGTAACCGTGCATTCCTGATAAAACCACACTGAAAACAGGCAATCTGAACTTATGGCCGACCAGATGATGTTTCCTCAAATGATCTTTACTTCTTCCATAGGCAGTGACAGTATTAGACTGTCTATTCCTTGCTGAATCTCTTCATCTTCCTCGTTACCATCATGATCACTCTTTGCTAAATCTTCATCCTCCTCTCCATCCATTTCAGGTTCGATCTCTTCCAGGTAGAAATAAAGAAAACCTATCCTCCTGTACTCTTGGGGGTTCCCGGATATTTGCTGAACGACTATCCCACCGATACTGGCACTGGAACCTCTGGTGACTAAAAGTTTTATGGTACATCCATATTCGAATGGAGGATTGGCGTTGGTCAGATCGTAGTCCGGATAGAAGAAAGTGACAGCGATTTCCATATTGTTCTGCCGGAAGTGTTCCATAATTGGACCTGGCTTCGACATGTCCTCAAAACAGTCGAACCACCTGAATCTACAGTCCTTGTCGGAATCATAACGATTAAGACCCGTCAAGTTTAGCACAGGCACCATTAAGATGATGCTAGCGTTGGTGACCTCTCCGAGATTAGCTGCACCAACGACAGTATACTCCAGACTGATCACTTTGGCCTCTTGCGTAAATTCGTAGCCGTCCCAGAGAACACCAGAGTTTTGCGCTGATACCCAAGACCAAGAAGGAGCCATCCGGGCAGGGCGTGCTTCGTATTCACGTGTGCGCCACATCAAATCCGAGAGTATGCTATTCTTCCACAGCCCTGCAATGTAAACATCGTCTACTCTTTGTAGTCGCGACATTCGAGCAACGACAGCTGCAATAGCTGGCAGACGATCACTCTCGTAGGTCAGTTCCAGTTTGGTGTACTCCATCACAGTCTTCTGCCAGTGGTCTTTATGGTCAGAGAGTTTATCGCCCCAGTCAAGATCCTTTGGATCTTTGATTTCAGGAGCGTATGTATTCCATGTTTTGTTTTCACTGAAATCCTCGGAAGCAAAATTGGTTTGGCACTCCCAGTACACTTGATGTTTGCCAAAGTGTATCGTGCGTTGTGAGAGCCTTCTTTCTTGATACACCCAGGCGCGAGTTAGGAGTGTCATCGATTCCGGTATAGTACTGTAGGCGGTTTTTGGAAAACTGTCTGGTAACGCCCGGACGTATAGGTGCGGATGTTTTTCCAAACGTCTCGTGACTGAACGACCCGAAGAAAAGAGACCACCGTGACTATCTTGGCTAGCTGTAGCTGCAAGGGTGATTTGTGAATTCTCGTATATATCCCCCATCGTGGCAGCGGCTTCTTTCCAGTCTTCTTCGCTATCTTGGAGAATACCTGCAGTTATTCAGCTGTGTATCTCCAAGTACAGGTTGCTCGTAGGATGTCTCACATAGTGCATCGATCCAGACATAATGGATTCCTAAATGACAACACACCTCCACCGCATCTCGAAACGTCTTGGGTAGACCCGATGTCTTGAGACCCTCACGCAGACTTCCGACAGTCTCAGCAGTCAACTTAACGGCAGGGCCATTTGACCCCCAACAATGGCTGAGACAAGCAAATGGAGCTAGACTGCCGGGTTGCTCGCGAAGGAATACGTGTTCAGCCGTGATCTCTAGGATCCTCTTGGGTAATGGGACGGCTAGTCGTTGCATACAATACTCATGGTGTTGTATACAATTAGTCTTCCACTCTTGAATTATACGAATAGTCGCTTGCGAAGAAGTATCTTCCGAAAGGGGTCGACATTCTTTAACGTTCCAGACACCGGACTTGGAAGGCTCAAAATGTCGTGGAATGTCTTACGTACTATTAGTTCAAACGTTGCTGTATAATGTTCCGACATACCACTGTAACGTATGACTTCAATCTTTTCGTCCACCCCAATGACAAGTCCACGGCTTATCGGAGAAGAGTGCACCGGTAGCATAGATTGCCTGAAAGAGCGATCTTCGCCCCAAACATGAGCAGCAATGGCGTCAAGAATGACAGCGCAGTTCCGACACCCAGAGTCTACTCCCCCTGCGAGCTTGTTGAAATCGACGGAAGTATAAACCTCTTTCAGTGTCATGTCGCCTTCGATCGTTTCGTCCACTATCGGATGCTTACAACACACACAAATGTTTTCGCTGTCAGACATGTCTGCGCACGCTCCTGATGTTGTATTGGCGAAGCTATTTGCCACTCGGTGCGAGAGGATTATCCCAGATACCCTTTGTTACTGTGCTGCTAGGAACGGTATGCGGTAAGAGCACTAGTCTGTCGTGGACTTGAGGAATGTTGGTGCTGTTTTGCAGCCTGGAGAGCTCAGCCGGAGAGGTGGGCGTGATGCATGCAGCCAAGTTATGTGGCTGTGGCGGGGTTTCCTTCACCGGTTTACGAAGTAAGGCATGCATGCTGACAGCATCTTGGTTGTAGGATAGGTCCATGGATCATCATGAGTATTCCAAATCCATGTTCTGGGGGAACCTTCGTCTCTGCACAATCTATGCGCTGAGTCTGAACTGCAGAAAGGAAAGACGCATACATGGCTTGCTAAGACGATATAGAGGTGTTTGAGTGTGACCTGCCGCAGGCCCGCGAGCGCCATCGGATGGCGCGACAGAAGGACTGTGCGCTGCTGACGTAACACAAGCTGGCCGAGTTCACAGCAGCAGCACATCGCGACTCAAGACCCCCACTTAAACACCGCGACAATGGCTTCAGGATACGGACTTGCTGGTGGTACGTACAAATCAATTCCGGGGGTACAATATTGGGAGCTTTGGGGGTTGGCGAAGGCAGCGGAGCGAGCGCAATGGCACTACGAAGAGCGGACCCGGAACGAATGCGTAGAGCGACCACGACGACTACGCGATGCGAGGACCTCCGTGGACAATGCGAATCTCGGAGACAATAAGAAAGAAATGAGGAGAGGCGGGTCCAGGAAGTAATGGTGGTGCAGAAGGCAGCCACAGTCATACGAAGACGGCGCAGAACCCAGGGCACGATATGAGTGCATGGAGACGACGGGCAGTACAGCCGACAAGTCCAACGGACGGCCTCGACTACTCGAAAATGGGCCTCTACCCTCGAACAATCGATAACTTCACATACCGCCAGTCTACCGCTCGCTCGCTCCAATTTCCCACCTCGACTGACCCGTTCGCTCGCGCTGCAACCCTCCAAAGCTCTCCGACCTCGCCCTTATCACATACGAAGCAAGAAGAAGCGTTTATAGATAGACACTCTCCAAATATCAGCTAACACAATACTCCCAGGCCCATCCCGCTGCTTCCCCTTCTGGCAAGAAGTCCTCGCATGCTACACGACCAACACAAACGCCGAGGACGACTCTGGCAAGGCAAAATGCGCCCCGGTACTTGAGGACTACTACGAGTGCCTTCACCACAAGAAGGAGGTATGTACCATTACCTCCCTCCATTCCTATTCACCCCCTCTTGACCTCCAACACTCCCCAAGAAAGACCGGTGCTAATCCGGAAATTTCAACAGGCTGCCCGTACCCTCGCCCTTCAAGCCGCGTACCGCAAAGCCGAAGCCAACATAAAACGCGACGACGCACCGTCCGCAGGCGAGATAAGGCGATTGGGCGTGTTGGATGCGCCGCTTGAGGAGAAGAACCTCAAGCCGAGCAAGTGGTTCCCTCATAAGGAGATCAATTAGAAGGGGTTGGACTGCAATGTTGGTCTGGACAGAGGGAATGTGTATATCGGTTGCGTAGTCTACTTGCGGACCCCAGATAGTCGGGAGGAAAGCCAATGAACAGGAATCGATGAAGGACCAAGCTGTTATGTGACGTGGTGCATGTGCAACTCAATTACTGACTTTTGAACCGCAACATGCGGAGTCTGGTATTCAAGCGAGAATAACCACAGGTCATGCATGCCATCCCAGTCCCATTCGCGATGGTCATATTTGTAAACACGTCAAATATCCGAGCAGGAACCACTTTCAAAAGATATATGCTTTCCATTCTCTGACTGAGACTACGTCAATGCATCACCCTCCAAACTACCCACTAGCCACTATTCCACGCACACTTGCACAGACACGCCCTATCCTACTCCTCCCCCTTGTAACCGATGCAGACTCAAAAAACAGAATACCAAACAAACCATCATTATCATAACGCACCCGTTTTCGGCCCATAATGCCATAATGCCCCATAGAACGCCATAAGCGGAGTGATGCGATCGATAAAGTGATGCTATGACAGAAAAGTAACAACAATGGAAAAGACAAATAACACTCTTGAGCCCATGCATACGCAGAGTGTTGTGGACCGAGAAACCGAGATGCAACCTAATCAAACAAACAACGAGCAAGTGTCGTAACCGTCATAATCCAACTTTCACTCATTCAGAAGAGTTTGGACTACCCACACCGTCGTCAGATGGTAGTATAGGATCTGTACCGAAGCGTGAGAGGAGAAGATATATCGCTAACGTCTGTTGGTCTATATCGTCCTGCAACTCAGTCTACATGTTTGCAGGGACACTGGTGCGCGCGAGATGGGGAGGATGAGGTGGTGGTGTAGCGGTA